GTTTAAAATGTTATTCTAAGGATTTCATTTTATTGTTGTTGTGTTGTTTCAGTCATGTCTGACTCTCCGTGATGCTATTTGGGGTTTTCGTGGGAAAGATACTGGAGTGCTTTGTAATTTCCCCCTCCAGATCATTTTACAGATGAGGAAACAGGCAAACAGGGTTAAGGGACATAGCCAGGGTCACACATCTAGTACAAGTCTGAATTTAGATTTGAACTCAGGTCCTCCTGACTACACAGTCTTCACTAAACCACCAAATGGGGTCCATGACAGCAAAAATACTAATTAAGATAAACCCTCCAGAGTTTTCAAATGGGACAAGATATCTAGACCTGTTCAAACTCAATGACTCAACCTTTTAAAAGGTGACTTACAAGGAATTCTCTTATAATAGAACCCCATAAAGCTTGGACCTAGGTGCCAAGATGGCTTAGGCACAATTTGTCATTTGTTGTTTTCTTGAGGAAATGAGTTGGTGAAATCAAAGGAAAGTGTAAAGGACCAATGGTACTGGTTGCCCCATCGGGTGTCTGAATTCTCAGGTCCACACTGTAGGTAGGCCTATGCATCTCACTAAGTACAAACTGGGTTCAGTTCTAACAATGTGGCAATGTTCCAAATGACTCTCCTGAAAAAAAAATATCTGTACAATGCTTATGCATGGTCAAATAAAACAACTCTTACTTATCTCATCATGTATCCAAATAAGAATGGGCCTCCACTGGAACCTCAAGTCTCTACCTGCCTTTACCCATCTCCTAGCCATGAACTAAGATAAATGCCAAGAGGAATCATTTTTCATTTTCAACTTTTAATGAGCTAGAAAGGATGGTTATATGTCTCTATGAAAGTTCATAAATTCATTGTTGGAGAATTGCTGTAAAAATAACAATTATTTAACATCAGACTTATATTGAGTGTTACATTGACAAAGTTCTTTTAATACATTTTTTCTCCTGAGTTTAATAATCACCCTCAGCAGTAGTATGTGGAAGTATAGCTATATTCATTTCTGCAGTGAAAAAACCATCTCACCAGATTTTGAACAAGTCCTATTGAGTACCCATTGAGTGCTTATTTTGTAGGATAGTTGTTTTTCTAACAAGGCTCCTTTGCTAAATCAGTATTGACTCTGAATAATGGATTTCTGATCTCCCTACTAATCACTCAGTAGAAATGTTTTGAAATGAAATATCACATACAGTACCTAGATCAAGCTAGATCTATATTAAACTTGTAGCTATGTCCTTTAGGTGGGATCTGGGTCAAGTCTTGGAATAAAAGCTTTTTCAGGTATAAATAAATATTTCATGGCCTGAAGGTCATTGGAATTCCATAATCCTTACCCTGAGAAAAAATGGGTCTAAGAGAATCAGAAAAGGGAAAGTTGGGGAGCCAATATATAAAGCATTTCTGCAAAGCATCATTAAATTAAAATAGCCCCTTCATCACAGTTTAGCAAAAATTCCTACCTTGTGGATAGGGAAATGTATTTATTGTCCTAGGTAGGCAAAAGTGGTCATGACAGTGTACATATCTCCATTCCTAAAACATGAGAGGAGGAATACATACTCAGGAGAGAGAACACTTAACTTCTACCCAGTGAATGTCTTAGATCCTTGCATTGCTGAGAAGGGTTAAGTCTATCAGTATTAGTCATCACACAACGTGGCTGTTACTGTGTATTAATATACTTTTAATAAATGAGGTTGTCACTACTGCTTATGAATGTTATATATGATTTCCATAAAAACACAAATTATTTAGCACAACTTAACAGAACTTATTATTTCTCAGGTACAAATCATGTTCTTTGCTTCCAGAGGATGAGGAGAAGAGGGAAAATAGGCACTTATATAGCACCTATTAGTGGAGGGGAAAATGAGGTGGGAATGGGGCAATGTTTGAACCTTACTGTCAACAGAATTGGTTCAAAGAGGGAAGATTATATATACGCACTCCTTTGGGTATAAAATGTATTTTAGCTAATAGGGAAATAGGAGAGGAAGGAGAAAAGAGATATAAGGGGAAGAATATAAATGGGAGGGCAGGTTAAGGAAGCAAAACAGACTTTTGAGGAGGGACAGGATAAAGAGTGAGGAGAAACAGAAGAAAATAGGATCAAGGGGAATACACTAACTGTAACTATGGAATAAGAATAAGAATAAAACAGAATAGGATACCAGAATGGATTGGAAACCAGAATCTAATAATGTTATATTTATATATACACAAGAGATACCTACGGAAGACTTGAGTTAAAATAAAGGGCTAGAGCAGACTGATTATGCTTTAGCTGACATAAAAGGCAGGGGTAGCAATCATAATCTTGGACAAAGCAAAAGCAAAAATAGATCTAATGAAGACATGATCAGGGAAACTACATTTTGCTAAAAAGTTCCATAGACAATGAAGTAATAGCACCTATCTCCCAGGATTGTTGTAGGGAAAAAGTTAGTATTTGTAAAGTCTTTTGCAAACCTTAAAGCTATAAAAGTGCTGGATGTTAATAGTATTGCCTCTGAATCTGTCTCTAGTGACAAGAGTGTCTTCATGGGCTTTACTTTGTTTCTGATCTGCTTCTAAGCAGCCTGCAGGGAAGGTATTCCAATTTCTCCGTGAGCTAGGAACTCCCTTTTTGTAGTGAAGCTTCCTTCAGTAGTTTAACTTCCCAAATTATATTCATTATCACTATTACTCTAAGATTAGCCGGTTTTTATATCATGTGCCTTCCAAAGACAGATAGTGCCCCACCTCAAGCTACAATAAACCATAAAAAAATGGATAAAATACTAGAAAATCAATAAAGCATCTTATACCATATTCCACAATACATTCTAAAGGAAAACACAACATAAAAATTAAAGATTGTAGTATTAAACAATGAGAAGAGAAACAGAAGAGATAGAGGCAATCACAAAAAGAAAATGGATATTTTGGTTACAAAAAACTAAAAAACTTGTACACAGACAAAATTTATGCACCTAGGATACAACAATAACAAGGATAAGAAAGGAAGCAATTGAATGAGGGAAAATTCTTGGCATCAAATTTCTTTAATAAGGGTTTGGTATCTAAGATTTTGCGCATGCGCACGAGCACACAACTAAAAGCCATTTCCCAATAAATAAGTCAAAAGATATAAACAAATTGTTCTCAAGAGGATTGCAATATTCATAACCACATGAAAGAATACTCCAAATAACTAACAAGGGAAATGAAAATCAAAACTACCTTCAGTTTTCACCTCATACCCTAAAAATTGGCAAGGATGACAAAAAAAAAAGGGGCAGCTAGGTGGTACAGTGGATAGAGCACAGACCCTGGATTCAGGAGGACCTGAATTCAAATACAGCCTCAGACAAGTAACACTTACTAGCTGTGTGATCCTGGGCAAGTCATTTAACCCCATTGCCTAGCCAAAAAAAAAAAGTATGATAAAAAATTAACAGTCATTGTTGGCAGGGTTGTGGAATAATAGGTACACTAATACATTGTAGGTGAGCTGTGAAATAGTATGTCCATTTTGGAAAGCAATTTGGAATTGTGCAAATAAAGTGACTGAAATATTCATTCCCTTTAAATAAGAGACTCCATTATGTATGGAGCTTATACCCCAGGAAAGCCATTGATAGGGTCTCCCATACACAATATATATAGCACCATCTTTTTTTTCCCTTTAAAATAAGGATAACTATGATGATGTAAAAAAAAAACCTTATTTTTAAAAAATCGATAAATCATAAATTCTAATGTTCAAAATAGCGTGTGTTATGTGGTATAGGTTTGATTGAAACATAGTCAAGTCATTAATATATCTTTATTAGATATAGCAACTGATCAAATATTCCCATAAAAAGCAAAATGAGGTACATCTTAGTATATCAAATAGACTGCACACCCACACAATACAACTTGCTTTACAGACATTTTTTCAGGGGTACAATGGGAAGATTTCCTATGAATAAACCCCCAAAATGTGCTTCATCCCAGGAGAAATCTAAGGCCTTGAAGGGTGGTTTTGTCAACCTTCAAAAGGAAAAACATAGAGGGGCCTCAAGGGCTTCACTCTTTTATAAGTCAGCAGAGTTGGATGACTTTCCATCCTCCTAAGAGTCAAACCCCCAGTCACTGAATCACCCCATCCTCCATAGTAAGACTTCTAAAGCTTTTTGTGTAATGGGCCACCTTAGTCTAATGGAACCTATCAACCCTTTCTCAGAATGTTTAATGCACAAAATAAAATGTATAGAATTGTAAGAAAATGAAATATATTAAAATTTATCAAAATATTAAAAACAAAAGTTTACAGACACCAGATTAAAAACCCATGTTATATAGGGAAATACAGTCAAATGTTTCAAATAAAGACTAAGTTGATTAGAGAACTTCACTCCATCACTCCTAACAAAACTTCTATATAAAGGCTTAACTCCCGATAAGATAGATCAAGTTGAACTCAGCAAAGGGACTCTAGATCAGTGCCCTACCTGAGCAGCCAAGATTCTGAGATGTATGTAAAGTAAGTGGTCGAGGGGTGGAGAACCTGCAGGCTGGAAGCCACATGTGGCCTTCTAGGTCCTTGGGTGCAACCTTTTGACTGAGTCCCAGTTTACAGAACAAATTCTTTTATTAAGTGGATTTGTTCCATCAAGTTTGGATTCAGTCAAAGGATGGCGCTTGAGGACAAGAGGGCCACATGTGGCCTTGAAACCACAGATTCCCCACCCCTGTAAGTCCCTCGGGGAGGAAGGGGCTAGTTTCACCGAGTGAAGGTGGTGGCCAGTACTACGTGAGGTTGAAGCAATTAGACTTTGAAGCAGAGTTTGAATATGGTCTGACATTACCTATCAGTCCAACATAGATTCCAATTTATGGAAAAAACCATTTTATCACTTGTTTTCAGTCACCTGTAATTGAGTCTCTTGGACAATTATTATCATTATCAACATTTCATTAGTCTTAAGCCTGAAGGTTTAGGTAAATGAACTAACTTGCTAAGAATTGGGGATACATGGGCAAATAACAAGAGACCTGGAGGTGTCACCTTCATTTTGAAAGCAAGGAGAGAAGAAGGACTGAAGAGGTCCTTGGAAGGCAATAGCTGATATACCATAGATAAGCAACCCATCTGTAACATTGTAAAATGATATATGTCCACTTTCATAATCAAGGAAAATGCCAATCTTTTGCAGGGGCTTCTTTATGTGAAAGTTACCCTCAACTTGTGAGTTTGCAAGGCAGAAGTTATCTCCAACTTTGAAGGTTTTCAGGGCAATCAGTTCTCCAGGTAACAATGGGGGGTTCCCCTTCCTGTTAATGGAATCCTTACAGACCCCCACTTCCCATTCAGTCATGCCGGCCACCTGCACTTCCCAGTAGTGTGTACCTGAGGTGAAACTCTGAGCACTCAACACCGTGGCAGAATAGGTAAATCTCTTTGGGTGGTCAGGTACATTCTGGGGGACACACAAGTGTTTCACGCTCTTCAGATCGGGAGACACAATGAGATAGGGATTGGCTGTTTCAGGATCCAGTTTTATATCTCCTGCAGAGAGATGTTATTTTGGCATATTAGCAACTTGGTCTATTTCTATCTGAAATACTTGGGGTCAGGCAGTCAGCTAGCTTTTATTCGATCCTCTATTAGTGCCCAAAACTTTGCTGTTAAATGCTCAGAATATAAAGAAAAGCAAAAAAATAAAAATAGAAATGAAAATAAAAACACCAAGGGAGCCACCAATTTAATAATTTGAACCTTTTAGAAAAGGTACCTATTTTACAACTCTATACAACTATAATGTCTGAATCTGAGTATTTCATCGTCTGTTCTCTAGACTCAGGAGGTATTGTTCTCCTGGTCCAGGCTAATTTCCTCTCCTCTACTGAATATCCCAGCTTCTCCTGTTTCCCCCATGATCTGTAGAAAGCATAAAATTTCATGCATTTGTCTGAAATTCATGCAGCACCTTATTAAAGCAGTCCTTGAGGGGCTGCGGCGAACCCATGTTTCTTCCCCTTGTTATTTCCTGGTTTCGGGGTAGATAGTGTAGATAGAACCCCAGAGGTTTTTCTCCTTAACTCTGGAGTCTTCTCCAGTTCCACTTCACCTCCAATCTGGATCCCCGTTTCTGGAGGAACATCTGCCATGTTCATTTCAAGTGACAAGTTATTTTTTGTTTCTTTTGTGGTTGATCAGGTCAGGGTTGTAAGGAATGCTTAGGTTCCACCTAGTACTTGTTTTGGGTCTACCCAGAGCTTGTGTTTTGGATCTCCCAATTAGATAGACTTACCTGATGATATACATTGCAAACCTTCTCTAGGAGGCTAGATACTCCCTGCTGAGGCCAATCAGGCGAATGACCTTAAGTCCTTTTCTGAACTCTGATGTAGCCAGGAAGACTTGGAGAAGGAACCTCCCTCTCTTTACCAAATGACCTAATAAATTTCTTTCTAAAACCTTTTCAGATTTGGGGGTTTGTTCTCACAAATAACACCTACCCATTTTCATCTTACATACTTGAGTTCATCAATGGTTTTTTGTTGTGGTTATCTTGTTTAAGTTTTGAGCTCAAGGATACTTCCTTCACTAAAGCTCTTTATCTACGATCTTTATTGACGCTCTTCTCCATACCTGGAAACATACATTTCACACTTATCTGTGTATTATTTTGTATTATGATTACTTTTGACTCTAGCCCTTAAACATATTTTGAACCATGAGAGCGTGGGCCTTCTCTCTCCAAGCACTGAGCACACTGCTCTCCAGTCTGTATTTAATAAATGTCTATGTGAATTAAATTCAGTGATTTCAGTCTCAGCATCCAGAATTTGCTCCTTGAGTCACCTGAGAACTCATAGGAAGCCCCATATGTTCTCATGCACTTTGAGCCCACACATTCTAATCTGGTAAAGGCTCCAAGAGCTCCCTGAGGGACTTTCAACATCTCCCTCAAGTAGGGACATTTACTTTGACTGTCCTAATAATTAAATTATTGAATTATAAAAAACAAACAAACCAAAAGCCCAACTACAAGTATAGATATGTCATTATTAAGATTATTGGGCCAAAAATACTATAATGACCTCTCATTACATAGGAAATGCACCAGAATTCCAGGCCATTATACAGGGACAAGGTCATATAACCACCTTTTAAAAATTAGAAGGAATGTAAGTAGTCATCTTATAAAGCTACTGTTTTCCTTTCAATACACTTTTTGTGAGCTTGGTGGCTCAAGATACACACATAACACATGAAGGATTTATGAATCTGTCAATACAAGAACTCCTTAGCAATGAATTAATTGTTAAATGCTTGGTAACTATAAAATTAGTAGGGAAACTAAGTCCCCTGAAGCATTTGGAGGTCAAATGACTTGCCTAGGGGCTCAGAAGCAGTCATCTTTAAAAATGCAAAGTGAAAATATGGGCATATTCAGGAGCAGAAGTGAACAATTTGAGTGGGCAGAGACTGCCTGAATATTCTCTTCTTTATCCCTAAAGCACATACTGAGGTAAATCCATCCCACACATCACAGGAACTCCGGAGTCTTCTAGAATACCAAGTAAGGCCCAGAAGGGGAAACTTACTCTGGAAGGTCATCATCATTTCCCTCAGTCCAGTGATGTGGCACATTGTCCATTTGGGGAAATCATCTTGTGGATATTGAAGTAGCAGCGCTTCACTCCTGCAAAGAGGGCAGACTCAGTTACACGTTTTGCATGAGTCTTCAACATGGAGCACAAACTTCAGTACATTCCAACAGCATAGACCCCAAATGACCCACCCCTTCATCTACACAGATTTCTACTCCTACATGGGCATAGGTGTTATGGATTAGAAACTATAATCTTAAGAGTTAGAAGCACTCTCAAATTTTATCTAGTCCAACCTATACTTAATTTATGAATTATATCTATAGCATATCAGAAAGGTGGTCATCCAGCTTTTAATGTAAGATCTCCCATTCCAGGAACCTATTCTGTTTTCAAAAAGCTTTGCACAAATAGGGTCAAGATTTGTTTTTCTTCTTATACTTAAGGTCACTATTTTGGACAGTTTAGCATAAAATGGAAACTTACTTATTCAATATGTCTTTCACATCCTAAAGGGAAAAAAATTAACAAAAAAGGTTTAGTTTCCTGTTTCCCAGTCTATTTGGTTTATTTATTTATGTTTGTTTGCTTTAGTTTATTTATTTTTAATTTTCATCATTCACTTTTATAAAATTTTGAGTTCCAAATCCCCCCCCCCCAATTCCCCAAGATGGCATGCACTCTGATATAGGCTATATATGTACAATCATATTAAACATATTTCCAAATTAGTCATGTCGTGAAAGAATCAGAACAAAAGAGAAACATCATGAGAAAGACAAAAACAAAAAAAGAAAAAAATAGTATGCTTTAGTCTGCATCCAGACTCCATAGTTCTTTCTCTGGATGTGGATAGCATTTTCCATCATGAGTCTTTTGGAATTGTCTTAAATCATTGCATTGCTGAGAAGAGCTAAGTCTATCAAAGTTGGGTATCATACAATGTTGCTGTTACTATGTACAATGTTCTCCTGGTTCTGGCTCACTTCACTCAACATCAGTTAATGTAAGTCTTTTCAGGTTTTTCTGAAATTTGTTCCCTAGTCTATTTGTGTGATAGTGTCTTTTGTAGAAATCCCAGTAACTCTTCTCCAAAACCTTCTCCCAGAGTACACTTTTATAAAGTAAAATGATTACAAAAATTAAATCCAGGAAGGATTATTTAGAACCACATTCTAGTTCTTCCTTGAGGGACACTCTCCTAAGAAAATTACCACAATGTAAGGGGAAAGTCATTTTTCCCCCAACCTACTAGTTTCTAAAAGATCAAGGTATGAGGTAAGGAAGTTAGAATGGTAGAGGATGGGATGATAGAAATGGCTCTTCCCTAAGGTTGACATGGGTTTAAAGAGGCCCAAATGAGGGGATAACCATCAATTGGGAAATGGCTGAACAAGTTGTGGTATATGAATGTGATGGAATACTATTGTGCTATGAGAAATGATGAACAGGCACACTTCAGAAAAACCTGGAAAGACTTGTATGGACTGTTGCTGAGTGAAGTGAGCAGAACCAGGAGAACATTGTACACAGTAACAGCCACATTACAGGATGACTAACTTTGATAGACTTAGCTCTTCTCAGCAATGCAAGGCTCTAAGACATCTCCAAAAGTCTCATGATGGAAAATGCTATCCACATCCAAAGAAAGAACTATGAAGTTTGAATACAGATCAAAGCATACTATTTGCTATTTTTTTTCTTCTGTTTTGTTTCCTCTTTCTTGGGGTTCCTTCTATTGGTTCTAATTCTTCCTTACAACATGACTAACGTGAAAATGTTTAATAGATGCCTATATCAGATTGCATGCTGTCTTAGGGAGAGGTGAGGAGGGAGGGGGAGAAAAATTTAAAACTCAAAAGCTTATGGAAATGATTGTTAAAAACCAAACATAAATAAAAAAACAAAACAAAACAAAACAAAACAAAACAAATCAAAACAAAAGAAAGGACTGACTTCATCTTTTTTTAACTGGCAATTAAATGAAGTCCAAAGCTTGAATATGAGCTCCCTCGCAAGAACTTGTCATGGTGGCCATAGGAGCTCAACCACTGTCATCTATAAGCTCCAAGAAGCAAACAAGCCATGATACTTTACTTTTCTAACTCTATAGCATGGTTATTAAAGTTTGTGTCATGGATCTACCTTTCGCAGGCTTATGAAGTCTATACACCCTTTCCCAGAATGTTTTCAAATAAATGAAATAAGTGCTACAGTTCAGTTAGAAGTTAGTAAAATGAAGATTATTTTTTCCTTCCTTATCCAAGTCCCCGATATCCATTTACAGACAGCTTAGAGGTTTGTGAGCACCAGGTTAAGACCCCTTGCTGTCATATTTTGTTGCTTTTTTTTGTTGTTGTTATTGATTAGAAAACTAGAATCTTAAAGAGTTAGATAAATTTTATCTTTAAATTTTATCTTGTCCACTCTATGCCTAATGTAGGAATTATATTTACAACATCCACAAAGATTGTCATCCAGGCCCTAATGGAAGACATTCCTAGGAGCTTGCTACTTCTAAAAGCAGCCCAATTCCTTTTTTTGGAAAGCTTTGAAAATAGGGTCAAGTTTTGTTTTGTTTTTCCTTATATAAGGCCAAAGTCTATCTCTGCAGAATGACAGCATAGTATAGTACACTGAAGAATGTACTTGAAGACAGAAAATCTGAATTCAAATCCCACTTCTAACATCAGTGATCATGGCTGGGTCATAACTTCTCACAGTCTATGTCCTGTCATCTGTAAATGGGAATAGCTGTCTTACCTACACTACTGCGTTGCTGTCAGCCTTCAACAACATGCAGAGAATTATCATTATTCTATCCATTGGTTCTAGTGTCTAGTGTGGGGAACAGGCAAAACATGTCTAATCCCTAAATGATGTATCTTCAAGTTCTGGAATAAAGCTATTATATTCTCTTTAAACCTTCTCTCATTTGGGTTTAAACACCTCAGTTCCTTCAACTTTAAATAAGATAACTTTTGTAAAGTATTTGGCACAGTTCTTAGCACATAGTAGGCAATATGTATTTGTTCCCTGCCTTTAACCGTATCATCCATGTAACAGTCTCTAGGGCCCACAATATTTGTGCCCTCCTCTCTGGATCTGAGATTGTTGCCAGTCCTTTAAATGTTGTCTAGTGGAGGCAAATTAATGCTAAATCTTTTTTGTAAAGACAAAAATGTGGGGCAGCTAGGTGGCGCAGTGGATAGAGCACTGGCCCTGAAGTCAGGAGGACCTGAGTTCAAATCCGGCCTCAGACCAAACACTTGACACATACTAGCTGTGTGACCCTGGGCAAGTCACTTATCCCCAATTGCCTCACTAAAAAAAAAAAAAAAAGACAAAAATGCATTTGAAACAAAACAGTATTTGGCTTAACTCAAGAGGCAAGGTGGGACAATGGAAATAGTGGTGGATATGAATCCAGATAACCTGGGTTCAAATCTTAGCTCCACCACCAGTTAATCCCTGTGTGAAGTTGGACAAATCAGTTTTACTTTTCTGGATATCAGTTTTGATATTTGTAAAGTGATGGTAGCTGGAGTAGGTTGCTTCTAGCTCTAACTGTATGATCTTATGGTCTTATGAACTGAAAACAACTAACCCATTAGTACCACAACAGAACTGTAATTCAAAATTTATGGATTCACGGGTGTGACAATATAGGTCCCTTCCACTCATCAATTTCAAAACACTATGACAATGTTCCATAAAACTCTTACCAGGACCATTTTCAAATCTAGCTTCTTAAAATCCATTCCTAGCTGTATGGCCATTCTTTGTAGGTCTTGAACTTGTTGGGACAGTTTTAACTCAATCTTCTTTAATTTTTCCAAGTTCTTTCTTTCTTTCTTGTCCAGTCTTTCTAGCTCCCGCCGTTCTTCCTCCCTCAAGAACTGGTACATTCTACTATATTTTGTTACAACAGCCTGTTTCATAATCTGCACATTTGCCTGTCAACCGAAGACATATGATAAGAACAAAAAAGGTAATTGACATTTTTATCTGTGGCAATTTTTTGGGGGACCACCGAGTAAGTCTTACTGCCCGTGTCTGGGAAAATTCATGGGCCTTGATCCCTGGCCTAGCGACACTATTTTCTTTCATGAAAACCACTTCTTGCAAATCAAGGTTGTATTCATGCAACCTTGATTGTTTTCATATAATCCAAAACAGAAAGACACTTACCTTACTCCATGTATACTTCTCTTTCTCCTCAGCTAGTACAATTTCAGTCTTACTTATTTTTTCCCATAAATCATTTAACATCTCTTGGAGTTTATCCTAAAAGAGAATCATGAATAGGCATCAGTGAAACCTCCATTTTAAAACTGAAAATTCCCAAATTCTGAAGGATTGTGTAAAGCCAGTGAGAATAAGACAGTGATCTTAGCTTTGAACCTATAAGGCCTGAGATGTCACTTGGGCCCTGGGGGTGAGGTTTTAGTCAAATGGGGCAGTGGCCTCAAGTGGCAATAAAAGGAATTGTAGGATTATACAATCATATGATAATGAAAATTTAAAACAGTAAAGAACTAAAAGGCAATCTGAGTTCAAATCTCTTATTTTTTAGAAGAGGAAATTGAGGGATAGGGAGATTAAGTGGCTTGTTCATGATCACACAGCTATTAATGACATAAGGTAGGCTTTGAACCAAGTCAAATCTTCCTAACTCCACTATATCATGCTGTTTATCAAAAGCCCAATGAGTAATGCGAAACTATGTTTAATAGGAATGTTTATGTATAGCCTATATCAGACTGCATGCCATCTTGGGGAAGAGGGGTGGGAAAGGGAGTAAAGTTTAAAATTCAAAAACTTATGGAAGTGATTGTTGACAAAGCAAAATAAATTAATAAAAAAAAGTGAAAAAAAAAAGCCCAATGAGACGACTAAATTTCTTCTCTGGGATTTATGCTAAACAGATAATCTTACCAGATCATTCTCAGTAGCCGATTCCAAGGGAAAGACTTGGTGTTCCATGTGTTCCAAGTCTGGCAAATAGTTGCCAGAGAGTGAACTATGTTGATCTGCACAGAACAGTTACTGTTCTTCTTGTATGTGTTGCAGGTGGTCAGGCTGCTGATGTGCTGTGGAAAAGATGTTGGAGATAAATGGTCAAAGGATATGAACAGGCAGTTCCCAGATGAAGAAATTAAAGTCCTCAACTTTAGTCTTTTCTCACTCATCAAATGCAAAAATACAATCTGAGGCACCTAAGAGGTGTGATGGATAGAACCCTCAGGAAAACCTGAGTTAGGAAATTCCATTTAAAGTTACTGTAGACATTATAAAATATTTAGGAATCTACCTACTGAAACAAACCCAGGAACTCTATGAACACAATTACAAAACACTTTTCACACAAATAAAGTCAGATCTAAATAACAGGAAAAACATCAGTTGCTCATGGGTGGGCCAAGTTAATATAATAAAAATGACAATTCTACCTAAGCTAATTTACTTATTCAGTGCCATACTAATCAAATTACCAAAAAATTATTTTATAGAGTTAGAAAAAATAATAACAAGATTCATTTGGAAGAACAAAAGGTCCAGAATATCAAGGGAACTAATGAAAAGAAATGCAGGGGAAGGTGGCCTAGCCATTCCAGATCTTAAATTGTATTATAAAGTAGCAATCATCAAAACTGATTGGTACTGGCTAATAAATAGTGGTGGATCAGTGGAATAGGTTAAATATGCAAGACACAGTAGTCAATAACTATAGTAATCTATTATTTGATAAACCCAAAGACCTCAGCTTCTGGGATAAGAATTCACTATTTGATAAAAATTGCTGGGAAAACTGGAAGAGTTTGGCAGAAGCTAGTCATAGAACAAAATCTCATACCATATACCAAAATAAAGTCAAAATGGGTTCATGATTTAGATATAAAGGCTGATACTGTCAGATTTATGGAGAACAGAAGAATTCATGACCAAACAGAAGATAGGAAAATTATGAAATGGATGGATAACTTTGATTACATTAAATTGAAAAGTTTTTGCACAAAACCAATGCAATCAAGATTAGAAGGAAAGTAGAAAATTGGGAAAGAATTTTTGTAACCAGTGTCTCTGATAAGGGTCTCATTTCCAAAATATAGAGAGAATTAAGTCAAATTTATAAGAATGCAAGTCATTCCCCAATTGATAAATGGTCAAAGGATATGAACAGGCAGTTCTCAGATGAAGAAATTAAAGCCATCTATCGTTATGAAAAAATGCTCTAAATTGATTAGAGAAATGCAAATCAAAACAACTCTGAGGTACCACATCACACCTAGCAAATTGGCCAATATGACAAAACAGGAAAATGATAAATGTTGGAGAAGATGTGGGAAAATTGGAACACTAATGCATTGTTCGTGGAGTTGTGAAACGATCCAACCATTTTGGAGAGCAATTTGGAATTATAGCCAAAAGGGCTATAAAAATGTGTATACCCTTTGACCCAGCAATAGTACTTCTAGGGCTATATCCCAAAGAGATCATACAAATGGGAAAAGGACCCTTACATGTACAAAAATATTTATAGCAGTTCTTTTTATGGTAGCAAAGAATTGCAACTTGAGAGGATGCCCATCAATTGGGGAATGGCTGAACAAGTTGTGGTATATGAATGTAATGGAATACTATTGTGCTATAGGAAATGATGAGCAGGTACACTTCAGAAAAACCTGGAAAGACTTGTATGGTCTGATGCTGAGTGAAGTGAGCAGAATCAGGAGAACGTTGTACACGCTAACAGCCACATTGTGTGATGACTAATATTGATAGACTTAACCCTTCTCAGCAATATAAAGATCTAAGACATCTCCAAATGCCTCATGATGGAAAGTGCTATCTACATCTGTAAGAAAGATTTTAGGGGGTTAGGCTTCCACAGCAGTATAAAAAATTCCAAGATCTAGTGGATAGTCCCTCAACCAATCAGAAAGTACTCCAAAAACAACTAGTTCTTAAGAAAGAGCCCCAGAAGCTAAAGTGGTTTCAACCAGCTGGGTTCAAGGACAGGGCTTTGACTGGACAAAGGCTTTTCTCCATTGCACTTGCTTAATAAGCTTATTGAACATGAACTGACACACCCCAAGGGCGGAGATAGCCACCATTTTTAACATGGGACCCATGAAGTGGGCAGAGTTAACAGAACAAGGACAAACATGCAATGGGCTGTCCAGGAAAGGTGTAACTCAGATGAACCAGACCAATAGTAGCCCTGATGGGTGTATGGATCTTACTAATGGTTTTAAAATTTTTTTCTACCACTGAACCAGTGTCCATGTACTACTCAAGTCCCTTGTGCCTGCTTCTCTCTTGAGAAGTGTAATAAATGATTCTTCACTCACTCGAGCTTAGTTTCATTTTTAACTAGAAGGCTTTATTTCTATAAGGCCTTATTTCTGACACATCCAAAGAAAAAACTATGGAGTGTAAATGCAGATTGAAGCATACTATTTGCTATTTTTTTTTCTTCTGTTGTGTTTTGTTTCCTCTTTCTGTTGGTTCCTCCTATTGGTTCTAACTCTTACTTACAATATCACTAATGTGAAAATATTTTTAATAGGAATGTATATGTATAGCCTATATCAGATTGTGTGCCATTTTGGGGAGGGAGGTGGAGAAAAATATAAAACTCAAAAGCTTATGAAAGTGATGGTTGATAAAGCAAAATAATTAATTAAAAAAATCCCATCTTATCCAGAAAAAAAGAAAAGATAAAAAACCAAACAAACAAACAAACAAAAAAAAAACCTGAGTTAGAATCTAACTTCTGACACTAGCTCAGTGGCCATAGGCAAGTCATTTAACCTCTCACAGACTAGTTTCCTCATCAAAATTGGGAAGACACTTGTGAGGATCAAATGAGAATATGTATATGTACATATATAATATATAACACACATACATATATATAACACTTTGCAAACCTTAAAGCACAATATAAATGCTATCTTTAATTATTAAAGAACCTAACTGATGTCCAGAACTATACCATCTTGAATGTTCTATCCCTATTTCCCTTTACCTTACCATAATATTTCCCCTTAAGCTTTAACCTTTTTTTAGCACCAACATCTCATAAGTCACTTAAGTTCATAAATTCAATCATTCCTAACTGTGTAGGACTCACCATATCACTGCCTTAACTCACACAAATGGCAGTACCTCTAGAATCAAATACAAATTCCTATCTTCACAATCTGCTTCTATCCTACTTTTCCAGCCTTATTATACGTTATCCCTCTTCAAACACTCTACAGCCAAGTCAAGCTGGCCTTTGGCATTCCTTACAAACCAACAAGAATCTTTCATGAATTCCGAGGCATGCCTCTATTCCCTCTGCCCTGATTGTGTAGAAACTGCAATCTATGAAGATGGAAGATATGTTCATATTGAATAATCACTGACCCAAAGTTTTAAGCAATAGAATCAAGCTGTAATTAACTATGGCTGCCACACCAATCAAGAATCACTCAGTTGCAGAAAAGAGTCCTCCAAACATTAGTCATGCACTTAATGAGTGGTTAAATTTTATTAAAATGAACTTATTTTATTAGGTTAAACAATCTGGTTTAGCCTACTTTGTTGGTCATTTTGGGCTTAACTGATCACAGTTCAGAAATTCAGGGAATGGGATTTCAGATTATCTGAATTGCTTTCTGATTATCTGAGTTAACTACTTAGCACTGATATTAGCAAAACTAATGAAGATCGTTGGAAACAACCAAATCAGCAGAGCAGGAAAGCACTTAAATTAGTATCTAGTCATTTGCCTCCCTCAACCCAAAGATAAAGTTTCCTATCTCCTCGAGCACTTCATTTCTCCTCCCTTCTCTAACTGAGCCTAGGGATAGATGGAAGGAGGGAGGGAGGGACACACACACACACACACACACACACACACACACACACACACACA